ACCGGCCAGCATCTCAGAGTAGGTGTCCAAATTAGACACATCAGAAGTAACTTCCTCCACATCATTTTGAACCCATAAAACCTGAAGTGATTTTTGAGCACAACGGTGACCAGGACTGTATTTCTCGTCGCAACGGAAACATAGACCCTTCGCACGCTTCTATTGCATCTCTTTATCGGTCATTTTTTTGAAAGCAGGTGGCGGGGATTTAATAATAGGGACTGAGGAAGAAGAAGGAATCGCGGCACGTGCGGGTCGGGTGACAGCAGAAGTAGTCACCTGCGAAACCCGAGAATTAAAATGAGCTCCAAAGGGGGATGTTGTGGGCCAAAGAGGAAATGAACCTGATTGATAAGCCCAAAGGGCCTGATTCTTATCCTCAATCTTTGGGCCGCAACCATTTTCCTGATCAACCCAATGGGTTCCATCTGTCGAAGTTCAGCTTGGATATCTGGGTGCAACTCATTAACAAAGGCTGCTTCAAGGACTGATTCCGGCAGGTCACGCAAGGGAGCGGAGAGCACCTCGAGTTGGTGATGATACTCCTTAACAGTAGAAGACTGATGTAACGAGAAGAGCTACTCCTGTAAATTACCCTCCTGAGTTGATCGAAAACGTTCAAGGAGGAGCTCTTTGAATTCTGCCCTACCACGAAAAGGTCGTCGACCATCTTCCCAGTAATACCACACCAATGCATCGCCCTCTAAATAGACAACTGCAGCTTGCAGACGCTCTACTGGAAGCAATCCATTAATCCCAAAATAGTGCTCCGCGCGAAAAAGCCAGTCGTCTGGATTTTCCCCATAAAAAATGGGTAACTCCAACTTCTTGGGAAGTGAATCAGAAGTATGTTCTGGCACCAGCATCGAAGAAGACATCGGAAATGACGCACTCTTCCCTTTGTCAGCAGCACGACTCGATGTGATTAATGGAGGAGCAATGTCAGTAGAAGACAAAGGAGCAAAAGAGACCTGTTGATGAAGCAACAGATCAAAACATCTCACCAGATCTTGAATGCCTCCCTCCAGAGACTGAACTGAGCTCTCTAGAGGCGAGATCTTCGAAAGTCCAGTTGCTACCTTGTCCGGATCGAGACGCTGAAAATCGTTACGTAAGCCATCCATCTCCAAACGCAAATCAGAATGCAGAGAAGACAAGTGTTCTTCAAATCCCTCCACCCGCGATGCCACTTCCTTAACTGTCACCATGGCCGAGGAAAGACGGGCTCTAATACCACTGATATGTCCCGAAAAGTTCACACACAATTCTTAGACACAAGGCAAGAACGCCACAACTCAGATAAAGAGAAATTGATATTCATTCAGAGGAAAACATTAACAGTAGGTCGGTTCTTCGAGAGACCGCCGGCTCTCCCAACACTCAAAATGTTCTTCACTCCAAAAAACATACCCCTTTCCATCCCCCAAAGACCCTTCTTATACTCTTCTGACAGCATAACAGACTCCTCCCCCATAAATGCCCAGCTGGCCTAATTATAAATGGCCAACACTCTTCTTATTCATAATTGACATAGCTATAAATGCCCCAAGACTCTTCTTATTCCCTTCTGACTTCCTCTATAAATGCCTAGCTGGTAAGTCCCATGTATTCAATTATTTCCCCCCCCCCCTTAACCGATTGTTGCCCTTTCCTCTTCCTAGCATACGTAAGGTTAATTGGGGCCCTACCATAAAGATAAGGAGGAGAGATCAACATCACCAACACCACAAATGGGAGATGTAGAACCATTAGCAAGAGTAACTGTTTGAGATGTGAAGGACCGAGAAAGTGAAGAAAATACATCTGGAGTCCCAAACATATGGTGGTCCAAGGCTCCAAAGTCAATGATATAGTGTGAAGGCTTGAAAGCCAAGCAAGCCATACCTGAATGGGCAAGGGTAGTTGTATTCTGTTGAGAAGATGTCTGAAGGAACTGATCATATATTGCACGGGGTACACTCACCATCTCCTTCCCAGAAGCACCAGTACCCCTAGTGGAGGGGATCGGGTCAATTTGTTGACTTTCACTAGCTATACCACTACCCCTAGTCACAGCATGGTTAGCCCAAGTGTTGGGTGGACCATGTAAATCATAGCAAAAATTAATCGTGTGCCCTCTAATCCACAGTATGTACACTTCCTAGGGGCATTACTTCTTCCTTTACCACGACCACCCCCTAAGTCCCATCCTCCACTCTGGCCACCAGCATGGTTAAACATGAAACCACCACGRTTACCTGGAAGTCCACAGCCACCACCACCACCACCTCTATTTCCACGACCTCCCCCTCTAGTCACTACCAAACCAGATCTGTCTGAGAGAGAAGAATGCTCTGTAGACTCACTAGATGTCCTCCTAAGACGGGCAAACACTTCTTCAAGTGAGGGAAGAGCAGATCCACCCAGTATTTGTGCTCGGACAGGTTCATATTCAGCCTTCAAACCCACCAGAAACCTCATCACATTAAGTTGCTCACGCTGTTGTTGCTGAACTTGAACATCCAGTGTCAAAGGATGATACACATTAAGCTCATTTCTCAAACTTGCATAGTATTCCTCCAAGCTTTGACTGCCTTGTTTCAGATTAAAGTACTCTTGGTACAACTGATACACCCTAGTTGTATTGTCTTGCACGAATACAGTTTCTTAGCATGATCCCAGATTTCTTTAGTTGTATCTAGGAACATAAATTTCACACTAATTTTTGGTTCCATGCTATTCCACAACCATGTCATAATTTGAGCATCCTCCTACTCCCAGTCACTAAACCCTAGAGAGTCAGAGAAAGGTTTTTCTTCTCTCACATGCTTTACCTTCTTGTCCTTTAAGAACACCTCCACTGACTTGGCCCATGGTACATGGTTCTCACCATTCAGCTTAATAGATGTCATTTGAACATTTAGATAATCTAGGGAGATCATAACACCAGTTTTGTTGTCACTACCATCTCCAGCTAACATCATTTTCAACCAAATCCGCTCACCTTACAAGGAGGTATGAACACCACCACAAAAATCAGTGTGAACACCACCACGCGACACAAGGTTTTTCTACTTTCAACTATTTAGAATCAACCACACACTATACAACACAGTACAAACACCACCACACCACTGCTGTTGTGAACTTCAACAATTGAAAACCCTACTTTCAACGCACATGCCAGGTACAAACAGAGGAAAATGAGACTGATATGCACTCTAATCACTTCACACCACCACAGAAAAGTATTCTAGGCCAAAACACAGTATTTGTAGTCCACTACTTGGGCGAAAAAGAAATTGTTCATACCTGTCCAAAAACAGCCCATTTCGTATCACAGAATAGAGGGCATCTAGTACACCACTTCAACGACCACCACCACAGCAACTGGAGGCATGCTCACCTCCAAAAGACCACTCCTTTTTGGCCTCTTGTCGAGCTTCCACTCAGGTTAGAAGAAAATCGAAGAGAGCTGATATGGCTGGCGGCAAACCCAAGAAGAAGAAAGGGCAATGAGGAAAGAAGAAAAGAAAGAAAAGGAAACTGAGTTTTATTGCTCTAATACCATGTGAAACCCTATTCAGTTCTAGGTTAAAGTAGAGAAGAAGAAGAAGAAGGATTTGGCCAGTAGAGGAAAATATGTCCTCTCTAGTCGACCCACTTGTATTTATGTGAAATAAACTTAGTTACAAGAAAGACAATATTGTCCCTCATAAGTGATGGGACACGCAACTTAAACTTGAATAAAACAGACTTTTCACTCTCAAATAGATAAACCCAAATGACCAAAATACCCCTGTTCTGTGAACTCTAACATCCTTAAACTCCTAAAAGAACGCCATGTAGCTATCAGGCAAGCTTTTTATTTCTCCATAGAGAAAACGACCATTTTGATTCCAGCCATCTCAAAAGGTTTCTCTAAATTTTCAACCATCTCCTTATTCAATGTTGGCCAACATTAACCTTCCACCTCAAGTCTACATGGAAGGAATTGGAAGTAAATGGATTTAAAATAATAAAATGATCCACAAAGGACTCAGTTTTACCCTCCTAGCAGTTTATGAATTCTCCATTTATGATAAGCCTCAAATTTAAAATTTTCTTTTGCTACACATTTGCTAAGTTGTGTATTTAGAATTCTTATCCCCCACTTTGATCTAACAAGTGATGAGTAGCATGTTTTTATACAAGTGATGAGTAGCGTGTTTTTGTATCTAGCATATTTCCTCTTTAATCCAAGTGATGGGTAGTGTGTTTTTACACAAGTAGAGATGTGTTTTGATGATGTCAGCTGCATGAAGTCTGTTGTTGATCTTGTTGGTGTGTGATATGACCCTTTTTATGTTATTTAGAGCATTGATATGTTCATTCTAATTACTACATATTCACCTACTATAGGTTCCTTACCTCTTAATCACCATGATTTGGCTAGATGGAACCAGTGTTTTGGAATAGCCACAATCAATGAAGATATATACTGGAGGAAAAGGGAAGTTAGGTTATCTAACAAGAAAGACACCAAAAGCCTAATGAAGAGGTACCGGCACTAGAGAAGTGAGACCAATATAATCTCACTATTTTGGAGTGGTTGTTGAATCCAATGCAGCCTCAGATAAGTAGGACTTTGTCATTCCATGACACAGGCAAACAGATTTGGGAGAACCAATTAGGCAATTATACTTACTCCTAATGGAAAAACATAGCACTAACAAAGATTTAACAGTTGAAGTAGGACATTTCTACTTTTTGACAAGGGGAGATGAGTTCGCAGGCGTACTTTCTTTTTGATAAGTAACTTTAGTTTGGTTAAGGCATTAGGCAATGCATTTGCTGACCTTTTCACCCATTGTATCCTAACAATCATTTTCACAAGGCCCATAATGACATTATTAAAATGAAGAGTAAACCAATACAGATATGCTTGTGTATATCATGAATTCTATATCTCACTTTAGTTCACACTTTCAAATTAAAGATGACAGGTATATTTTCTTTTAATATTGACTTCCAATACGTACCAAAAAATGGAAGAAGAAAAGCAACACAAACAGTTGAAAAGACAAGTGCTGTTCTTAGCATAATAAAGCACCAGGGATTATTAGAGACTCCAACAGGAAGTAGCTCTTCCAACCCCCTGGCCAATGGATTCATCAACAAGGCATATTTGTTGGGTGTCAAGGAAGCAAATTAGAGTAAAAACTCAAATAATGATGTAACAATTTCATTTCTCAATTCTAGAAATAACTTGGAAAACTTGCGGTTGAAAGGATATTTTGTGAAAGGATTGATAACCTACAAGGCAGGAGAATCAAGTTTAGAAATTACATTGAAATCTTAAAATAAAAAACAGGAAATTTCAGACAGTGAAAAGAAGAAAACTAGATATTAGAATGACTAGGGATAGAGTTTAGACAAAATACTCACAGTTGTCCATACTGCTACTTTGGAAACCAATGCATTCTTTGGCATATTCAGAGTTATCTGAGACAATGTGGCTTCACCAAACATGAGATATCCCATGGCTGCAACACCCCAATATATTGCAGTACAAATGAGAAAGCTGCACAAAAAGAGAATATAAGGCCTTCTAGTGGAGAAAACCAAGAAGAATATGCCTCTTATGCAACAATGAGAACTCAAAGTCTTGTACCAGGCTATCAATGCCTTGTTAAATTCTCTTTTGTTAGACATCGATTGGTAAATATTTGGAAACACCGAATGTCCAGAATAGCAAAACCCATATACCCCAATAGCAAATGGGAGACCACTCCACTTCACCAATGAACCAGTTGAATGGAACCCAACCCCATCCACTGTACCAATAAAAACAACTGAGAGAAGTATCAAAAGTGTTGCAATCACCCCTCCAGCTGTAAAAATAAACAAATAAAGGAAAATTAGACAAAAATTTATTCCAAGATTATACAATTCCTTAAAACCATAAAAAAAGGAACCACATAACACAGAAATGTGTCCAACCTGAAAGGTAAGAAATGACACGGAGATCCCTTAACCAAACAGTTGGCAGAACAATGAGAGCAGTTAGAAGTCCAAAGAGATGTATGGAATCAATATGAAACCCAGCCCAATCCAAAGAAGCACCAGGGAATAGCCTTGTAAGATTATCCCCTTCCAAGATAATAAATTCAACACAATATGACTGCATTCATGGAAGAAAGAAAAAAAAAAAAAAAAAAAAAACTGATAAATTTGTTTTGAAGGTTTATAAGCAGGTGGTTCAAAGAACAAGTAATGACAGAATGTGTGCTCCACTTACATATAACTCTGTGTACAAAACAATCTGCATCAAATTCAAAACTGAAACTGCATCAGAAAATATAAAACTAATGGCCAATTGAGTCAGAAAAACTAAATCTTGCAGCATTTCAGTTTCAAGGTCAACACTATTTTCCTCTGGGTAATTTTCAAGCAGGAGAAGAATTTCACAAGTAAATAATAGGCCTGAAGTTATTTTCTTGAACCTCTTTGCATGGCAAGCCCACAATATAAGAAGGGGAAAAAACATGTGTCCAATAGCTACTCTTGCATGCTAAATTCAAAAGGTAAAAGTATATCCGTGAAACATGACAGTTTAATCTAGCATGAATGGGAATACAGTAATTATCATTGGAAAAGTTAAGAATGAAATGAAGGCTGAGAGATCCTTTTAGATTGACAAAAAGGTAGAGAAGTATGAAGCTAAGAATTACAGTAACAACTCACAGATATGAAGAGGCGTCCAAATTTTCCAAAGGCAGCTTCTCCAATATCCGGATAGCTCAAGATACCTCCCCTGCTCTCAAAACAGTATCTCAAGAGGAAACCTGTATAACAACAAATACAAGCAAAAAGGACCAGCAGAGCCAAGCTTGCCCAACCAGCTTCTTTCACTGTGAACGGTGTAGAAAGAAGCCCTACACCAGCCAACACATTCACTCCTGTTGCAACAAAGAGGAAAACTCTCAATCAAGGAAATTATTTCACCATAAGGAAACTTTACAGGAGATTTTGTGAAAATATCTGTTTATATCCATCTGACAAAAAAGAAACATTCTCAGAAAATTTAAAAGGAAAAGGAAGAGGGGATATGCCTTAAAAGTAATATTTTTGAATTTCAAAGTTTACAAATAAGTATCATGCTCCCAAAAAAATCCAAATTCTAAGTGAATACCAAACTTCTAATGCCAAGCTCCAGTTCTTAGAAATTTTAGAACCATGTACAAAAATTAGTATTAAGAAATTATTAGTAGGAGTTGTATACCAAACTTCTAATGCCAAGTTCCAGTTCTTAGAAATTTTAGAAACATGTACAAAAATTAGTATTAAGAAATTATTAGTGGGAGTTGTTAGAAGAATAGGCCAATGCAACTTACCATTGAAGACAGTCTGGGTAAGGCTACATCCATGACCAATGGGTACTTCCCCAGTAAGCTGCTGATGCAAGGAAACCTTCCCTTCTGACCACAATGATTCGGTTCTTAAGTTTGTGTCTGTGTCTTCTCTCTGATACAATCTTTCAACACCAGGTAGTAGAGGAGATTTTGCATCGAGGTCCAAATTACTTCTAGTATGGAGGTCAAAACTTGAATATCTAATAATAGGTCCACGACGAAGGATTGCAAAGTTTGGTGATACAGTAATTGTGTAAGAATCAGTAGATTCCCTGGCAGATACAATTACGTATAAGTAGTTAAACCATGATCATGTAGGAAGGCCCCAAAAAAATAGCTATGCTAGAGAAATAAGCAGGAAAAGGAGAGTTTTCAAATACTATATATGATATTCCTCCTAGTGAGAATGCAAAAGACTGAGTAACCCAACGGGATGAAAACAAAAGAGGTCTTAATCAAATATACAGAACAGAAAATGCAAGCACTATTTCAGGAAAAATAACAAACAGTAATAATGGGACACATCAATAGGAGAACATATTAAAAGACAGCTTTTATTAAGATGAAAGCTTCATTAGATTGCATAAACGTTTCAAAGACTTGAAGGAACTAGATGGAGTGGATAGGCAACTCCAATCCCCTTCATTGAAACCATTATGCTGCAGGTCCAGAAAACTTCAAAACCAATTCCAGATCAATCAACGAAATAAACATTGCTTTTCAGCAACAAATTCAAGGCCACTCTGTGAATTCGTCAACACTCGCTATCAACTGTCATCCTCTAACACTACAGAGCTAAATAATCCTGCTATCAAAACCCATGTGGTCGAGATCATACTCATTGCCTTACACGTAAAACACAAGACGGAGACTGATAGCCTATCTCCACTATCCATACCTTCGAATAATGCTCAAAGTGTTAATCTAGAAGTACAGAATTCCAAAAGAAACCATAAAAGAAGTTATCAAATAACGGAAATCCAAACTCACCTGTAACTCTGCGGCCACTGCTGAGAAAAGAAAGGAGACGAAGTCGAACTCTCATTACCCTTCTCACTCTCTTCCCCAGCCTCCACATCACTGCCACTACCATCACTATCATCACTATCACCCCTGTTTTCCTCTATCTCTTCATCCTCTCCATTCTCCATGAAAAACTGAACATCCTTATCCGCCATTCCCACCACTCTTCAGCAACCCCAACAAACAACTCACAAAACCCAGAACCCTAAACAAAGAAAACCAATACTTAAAGCGTTTCAGTCGTTTCAATGATCTCCTGAATCCCGCAAAGGTAACTTTTCTGCTGGGCTTTCCTTTTCAGGATTGACTATTGTGAGGTTAAACCGCAACGCCAAAGGAGTGTGAAGAAAGCGAAGAAGACAAATAAAAAAGCTCTGGTAACAAGATGCCAACATGTTCATCAAGGGAGCTCCGACCAGGACTCTTCAACTCTAACGACTACGACAAGAAGTGCAGCAGTGTCGAGTGTGTGAGCCTGTCTGTCTATCCATGCTTATCTGCAACAACGTGACCCGTCTATCGTCGATTCGTTATCTGTTTTTGTCGTTCTTGGAACTTTGAAATCGGGGAGAAAAGATTCAGCCATCAACTGAAGGAGTGGTCATGATACGAGGAAAACCCGCCGACTGTCATAAACATAAACCACGTTCACTTGTTCAGTCTTACGGCTCGCGTGAAGTCGCGCTGTGGACGGGGCATGTGAACGAGTTTCTAGAGACCAAGAGTGAATGAGACGTGAAGCAGTGTGTCGAGTGTGTGAGCCTGTCTGTCTATCCATGCTTATTTGCAACAACGTGACCCGTCTATCGTCGATTCGTGATCTGTTTTTGTCGTTCTTGGAACTTTGAAATCGGGGAGAAAAGATTCAGCCATCAACTGAAGGAGTGGTCATAATACGAGGAAAACCCGCCGACTGTCATAAACATAAACTACATTCACTTGTTCAGTCTTACGGCTCGCGTGAAGTCGCGCTGTGGACGGGGCATGTGAACGAGTTTCTAGAGACCAAGAATGTATGAGACGTGAAGCAATAGGCAACGTGATGGCAATCTATTGGCTGCGTGGCGTTGGGCTCTGAGACATGTTACAATTAATTTTAAAATACTTAAAATACCCCTGAATTTTTTATGAATTTATTAAATTATCCTCGGATTTTCTAACTACCAGGATAAATACATCCTTCCATAATCCATTAGCGCCCCATGCAAATATTTTAGAAACCCAATTTTGCCTTCTCTTTCTTATTCGCCATCTCTCACCACCCAAGTCCATTTTTGTTTGTAATTGGCATCCCCTATTCTCCATGAATGAATAATATTGAAAGCATTTCTTCTTCAAACAAGAAAAAACTTCTTTTTTGGGAATCCAATGTTGGTAACTTGGAATATAAAGAGATCAGTGCAACATTCTAACACCATTTGGACAGCTTTTTACAGCATTGCATTGGAAATATCTCCTAGCTATACAGGCTGTTCGAACACAACTTGCACTGACTGAATCCGGTTTTGAATATAAGTGGGGATTGATAACTGGGACAAAGTTGTAAGTGGGGATCCTCATGGGTGAAGATTGGAGCCCTCTAAGGCGGGGAGTACTATAAATGGGGATGAAAATTTCCTCATCCCTGTCTCCATAGGGAGAAAATCATCCCCATCCATGAGAGATTAGAAAAATGGGGTAAACTGTCATCTTTAATAAGATATCTACAGACAACCAAGAATTGTATTGTATGCTCGTATATAAGATGATAGAAGATTTTGAAGTGGTTGGATATTCAAATTCTAGCATTGTTAGTTGTCATGATACCCGGAAATCCACTTAGGTTATGTTTTCATGATAGTTGGCAAAGCCATGTCGTGGAAGAATGCTAAACAAACACTTACAACTTTGTCCACAATGGAAGTAGAATTTGTAGCATGCTATGAAGCCGCAAATCATACTATATGGTAACGGAATTTCATCTTTAGATCGAAAGTGGTGAATTCTATCTAGACTGCTAGTGATTTTCTGTGACAATTATTATATATGCTACAATTATGTTTTCTAGCTAAGAACAACAAGAGTACATAGCAAATGATTGTTGATCCCATCACAAAGAGCTTGCAACCTATGTTGTACATTAAACGTGTCTCACATGGGGCTTGCTAACAATTTTGATTGACTTGGTTAGTGAAAGGTTGTATATGGCTCAGTTTTGACACTTGTTATTGTGATCATATGTTGTTATCCTCACTCATTTATTCATGCTCCATATTGGTGTACATGTGTATAGAAATTCATGATTGGTTATATACTAATTTTAAGATACATTTTGGACCTTGGCATGGCATGGTTAATATGTAAGTTGTGGCTATGTAGTAAAACTTGGATTTAGGAGTTGGGTGTATTGGCATTGTAACCATGAGTAGTTTTGTGTCGAAGAATTGATGTGATGATTTCCATGGGTCTGATCATTGCATTCTAGAACTCTATCATTGCTAGTTATAGGAATTTCTCACTTAATGGGTGATTTGTTCTTCAAATCAAAGTGCACATTCAACGATTGTTTTAAAAAGGTTGTTTATCTAGAGGAGTCCTTTTCAAAATGTTTTAAAACAAAATTATTTTAATTTTTAGACCAAGTGGGAGAATGTTACAATTTGATCTTAAAACATTAAAAAAAATAGTTTCAAGTCTTTAAATTGTTTATAGTCTGGATTAACACCCACCCATAATGTGAGAGGTGTTACATCAGAGTTTTTGAGAGGATAGAGTCAGTTATGTAATGTCTCCCTCATCTCTCTCTATAAAAGGGTAGGTCCTAGCTCTACCACCCATCCTTAAGTCCAAGCATGAAGGCCAGGCCTTCATAGCTCAATGCAACAAAATGGAGAGAGTTGAAGGCCTTCCAATTGCAAGTTAAAGTCAAGGAGCAGTCTCAAGCAATGGAAGGTATATATCTTTCCTTCCCAATTTTAAATTTTATACTCTTCTACATGTTAGAGGCATGTTGTACATCATTTTTCACTCTAACAGTGGTAGCTAGATAGACCAATTTTCAAACATGTCAAAAAATTTATTAGACCCAATTCAAACCCCATTATGTTGAGAAGAAAAGCTTATGGGATAAAAAGCACTTATCATGACAAAAGGCCAATTTAATGTGTTGAAGATGTGTATAATTCTACTAGATCATAGGTATATCCTTTTTGTTTTTTATATTGGTGATGCGGCTTTAGCCAACTACCTATAGGGGACATGTGCTCCTATGCTAAACCTAATAAGTGGGTTAATGGGGATAGTAACAAGGTGCACATGGGGTCCATTAGCATACAATGTGGAGAGCCAAGCTTCCATAGTTTGAATCATGCCTCCTTATTAAGAGCTTGCAAGATCATGTGCATATCTATGGCCTACTAGCAAATGTGCATGTGGCAATTTTTGACAATGATAGTAATAATATGTTTCCAAAATTTTCGACAACTTTTATATTTCTATATGTATAAAAATAATTTTTATTTACTACATTTATTTTTTGTTTAATATGATGAATATATGATATATTAGAGATGTGCCCAAATGTTTTCTACATTTTTGTATTTTATTATTTTTATTTTTAATATTTATTATTTAATTAAGATATCCAGGTTAACACATTTGATGCAAAAGGTTAAATTTTTTACCCACCACCAAATAGGAAAACAATTTTTATCTTTAGGTCAGTTTTAAATTTTGTATTTTATTTCCATCATCAACAAAATCATTCTTATTTATCATACTTATTTTTTCTTTAATATGATCAATATAAATATTAGAAATGTGTCCAAAAATTTTTTGCATTTTCTCAATATTTTGTATTTTGATTTGATATGATGAATTTATCTTTTTTGTGTTGAGTAGTCAAGAAACAACATGTTCAAAAAAGAGTATGGCAGAAATGTGAATCCTAAGATAGATGAATGGAAAAACTATAAAGGATATGATAAAAAAAATAAAGCTACATGTAGAAACCTAGGACTAGCTCCAATAAGTGATAAAATGAGATAGAGTAGACTAAATGGTTTGGCCATGTGCATAGAAGACCACAAACAACTCTTGTTAGAAGAAGTGCTTTGTTACGAGTGGAAGGGGCTAGAAGAGGTAAGGGTAGACCATAAAGGACATGGGTAGTAGTAAGAAATGATTTAAGCATTAATAGTTTAAAAGTGGATATGGCTTTAAATACGATAGATTGGCAAAAATGGATTCATATAGCCCCTTATATAGTTAGGATAAATCATAGGTTGTGATGATAATGATGATGATGATGATGAATTTATCTTTTTTAACTTATATTATTTAATTATGATATTAAGTGCAAACAAATTTGGCCTAAAAAGGTTAAAATGTTGACCTTCCACCAAATAGGAAAATAATTTCATTTTTGAGTCAGTTTTAAATTTTGTATTTTATTTTCAACATCAATAAAAAAAACTTTTAGATATCACACTTATTTTTCTTTGATATAATTAATATAAAATATTAGTGAATTTCTTTATTTTTCATATTTTTGTGTTTTATATTTTTAATTAATATGATTAATATACAATTTTAGAGATATGTCCATTTTTATAATTTTTGTAGTTATTTATATTTTAAAAGATTTATTACATAATGGATTAATGGATTGATCAATTTGACCCAAATGGTTGAATTGCTTACTTGCCACTAGGAAGTTTCATTTTTTGGTTGATTTTAAAAGTTAAAAACCTGGCTTTAATATTGTTTTTTTACAAGACATGGATTTTATATTGTTAAAAGTATTAAATATAGATATATTTGATAGAATTTATTAGTGAGGAAAAAATAGCTTAAATATAGGATGCAATATGAGGAAACGGGAATTAATACCATAAGGGAGTGTTCAATTTTCAATAAGTTTGGGGGGGGGGGGGTGACTAACTTTCTCACCTTCATATTTTGGTAAATGTGGGTCTCATGGTAAAACAATAACCTGGCAAGTGATACTAATGACACAAAATTGTGCATTAAACCAGTTTTAAAAACAAAAAGGTACAAGAGTAAGTATGGTAACACGAAAATTAAAGCTTACCTAGGCAAAAAAGAAGATAGGTAGATGCACTTGCCTAAGTAAATAACTTACTCAAAAACAAATAAGGCCTAAATATAAGACTTAGGGAGTGTTCTTTTTCTGGATTTTGAGAGGGGGAAAGTTGGTCAATGGGATTTTGATTCCCATTGACCAAAAATCCCATGTTCTTTTTTCAAATTTATGTGGGGACAGGGAAAGTTTATTTTTTTGGGTATCACTTACCCAGCCCATCTCCTAGTAGGTGGGTAAATAACTTTCCCACCTTGGGGGAAAGTTGCCAACACTTGAATGGGACAAAAATGCCCCTTGTAATAATGTTTTTTATGGCTAAAATGGTCATTGTCTTGTTTGCATGGGAAATAAAAAGAACATGGGTAAATGCACTTACCCGAGTAAGTCTTTCAAGGAAAACACTTACTTGGGTAAGTGCATTTACTCGGGTAAATAACTTACCAAAAAGCAAGCGGGGCTTTAATGAGAGAGAATTGAATGAGGTGAAAATTAGTATTTCAAATTACAAWTTTTCCCTCAAAATTCGAGAGGGATTAAATTCAAAAATAAGGGTATTTTAGTAAAAAATTATTCTATTAAATGTAATGATTTTTCTTTGTAGATAAAAATGAAAATATAATGGCAATTAATACCTTAAATATAAGACTTAGTAAGACAATTAAATTACATTTTCTGTATTCACAATTAGAAATCGACCAAATTCAAAAACAATGATATTTTTATCAACTAAAAGGTTCATACTATAGATTTTTACATATATAGGTATAAAAAGAGACTGTTCAAGTTGATGTTCAA